TTAAAAAATAAATAGATTCAAGTGCGTAAAAAGGTGCATATTTAAAACAATAATTAAGGGTTTGTTTGGTTGACTTTCCATCAACTCAACTTCCAACTCAATAATTTAACCAATAACGAAATATACCCTAATTTTTTTATATAAAAAATATTAAGGTACGTAATTAAATTTTTCTTTTTAAATATATTTGTACCAAATTTGGTGCGACCAATACCTCGTTTTGGATAGTGAATAATAAAGTGTTGTTTCTGTGTCCAATAGTATTTTTTATATCGTTAGTTGTGAACTTTGGCTACTAATACACTCCGCACCACCTTATTCGCAACAAATAGGGCTATTTCGGCTAGTACATATCAATATACTCTTTCCGTCTCAAATCAAAGGGACTTTTTGAAGTTTTATAGTTGTTGAACACAAAAACTGAGGTTATAGTTTAAGCCCATAAAAGATGAATGGAGGGGCTCAATGGCAATTCAGTGGAGGGCCAAAGTCATTCGGTTGGATGGTTGTTGGCATCTAGCCGGTCGGACGGTTGCCCCTACGGACAGTTTTCATCCGAATTTGGGCCTTGGGACAGCTGCAAAGGTTACCGACGTAGGCACTATATTGGTGGGACGGCTGGTCGGTTGGTCACAAAGGTTACCAACTAAGAATTGATTACGGCCGGTACAACTAGTTCGGACGGTTCAGGTCGGTAACCGACAAGAAAGCGTGTTTGGACAGTTCAGGTCAGTAACTGACGAGGAAGCAAGTTCCGACGGTTCAAAGTTAACTGACGTGGAAGCGGTTTTCTGACGGTTACCGACGTGGAAGCAGTTTTCAAAGGTAACCGTCATGGAACCGGTTCTGAACGGTTGTAACTGCCATGGAACCGGTTCTGAACGGTTGGGTTTGATACGTATTTAATGAGCCTCAAGGATTGAGGAAGAGGATCTTCAATCAGAAAACATTCCAAGAGAATCTCATTGGGGATCACCACTTTATTTTTTAGTTATCCTTTTTGTTTTTTTGTTTTTTTCCTTCAACTATTTGTTTATCGCTTGATAATTTATAATTTCCAAACTTTATTGTTCAAGTTTGAAATATATTTTCAAATTTTACTTTTTATTTGTTGAAATTTTACCATCAACAAGTTGGCGACCACAGTGGGAAAAAAGGTAAAATTATTGATCCTACGTCTAACGAAAGTTTCATACAACTCTAATTTGGTCGAGTCGTTGCAAGGAGGTTCTCAATCTCAATCTCAAGGCCTCAGCACAGCCATTGGGTCCACTACGGAAACGCCACCATCAATCTCCACTACGGGGATCGTCTCCCAAATACCATCCGAATGGCTAAATCATGTTAAAAAAATGAACAATCGGCAAATGGCAACCCTGCAAATAATGTTGCACGAGGAACAAAACTTGATGCATAATATGCTTGATCAAGCCCTGTCGAGAATTTCGCTTCAGTCCGGGCCTCACATCCAGGAATGTCTCCGTCGTGCTTTCAGGCAAACTTCGTAGGGCCGTCATTCGTGTACAACACAATCCCAAGTGCAATCGCAGGGCCATTGTTCGTGGATAGCACTATTCCAAGTGCTACAACCCCTAGTAGGGCAAATAGAGGAAAAACTCCCCTCACTTTTCCAAATAATATCCCTCTGGAGACTCGGCCTGAGCCCTTTCAACATATGGATGAGTGGCCTGGATAGAGGGCTGACCAACCTAGAGCTCATCCTCATGATTCCATTCCAGTTCCAGATCATCATCTGGACAAATTGGACCCAGACGACATCGCGCACATCCTGAGAGTCCATTTTGGTATAACTCCACAAATTACCAATAGGCCCACATATCAATGGCGATTCCCTGAGTGGATCATCAATGAACATCCTTTTCCCATGAATTATCGACCACCCGACTTTCACGCATTCTCGGGAGAGGATGGGTCTTCTACTATTGAGCATGTGGGACGCTTCATGGTCCAGTTGGGTGAAATCAGTATCAATCAATTTCATAAATTGCAGTTGTTTGGTTTGTATCTGACGAAGATGACTTTTTCTTGGTTTTTTAATCTGCCACCTGGGCAAATACACACATGGGAAGGATTGAAGACAACCTTTCACACTAGATTCTTCAATCCCGTTCCAATGGTGTCTCTAACTGATTTATTGAAAATGAGACAGATGCTAGAAGAATCTGCTACACAGTTTATGGAAAGGATTCAGTTGATAAAGAGCAGATGTCTAATTGTGGTAGAAGAGAAGGAAATGACCAATCTTGTGGTCCGAAACATACATGGACGGCTATGAGAAGCACTAACCGCCACGATGTCGAGGATCTGCCCAGTCTGGTATCTAAGGTGGACGTTTGGAATCATTGTTCAGGGAAAAAGATCAAAATTTTCAGCGCCACAATGGTCGACATATGGTAGTATAGAAGCATACACATATACACGATAGACCGATCCAATGATAGAAGTAAAAGAAATGACGGCAGAGATAGTCATTCGGAAGCCGTATGTCTGCCCAAGGCTGAAACCAATTCCAGGAAACGAAGGAATAGTCAACCGATGTTTGACAATACCAAAACAGACGATATTTTTGACATCCTCCTGGCGGATGGACAAATTCGGATTCCTAAAGGCCAACGTCTAGCCACGAAAGAAGAAATCAAATGAAGACTTTACTGCAAGTGACATAATTCTTTCACCCACGGTACAAGTCAGTGTACACATTTCAAGAAGGAGATTCAAAGGGCTATCAAAGATGGGCGCTTCAAATATGTCACCCTGGGGATCGAACAACAGCTATTTCCCAAGGTAACAATGGCTACAATTAGAGTTGCTCCGAATAAAGAGTTACCAAGGAAGGAAGGTCTGAAGAGAAAACTAAAGGAAGAGTAGCCGACCCGGAAGGAGCCAACATTGGGGGAAGTCGATTGGCCTCTTATGAGAATGATTGGAGACGGCCGTCCAGCGGGAAGTCGGTTGGCTTCAGGATATGTCTTCCAGACTCCTCTCTAGCGGGAAGTCGGTTGGCCTCAAGAGAGTCAACCGCTGGTTGGCTGGCTTTGGAAGGGCCAACCGCTCGGGACCCAAAGACGGGAGCCCAACTGCCGGATAATTTGTGGCCGGAGGGTCGGCTGTTGACAGGTCGGTTGGTGATTGCTCAGAAGAAACCGGCAGTGCGGTCGGGCAAGAGAGCCAGGGATACCTTGTCGGCAACCGAACAAACGCGCAAGAAAATGAGGTTGGTAGTTGAAGACTCCCAATGGTTATTGCAGACTCCCAATTGTCATTTCTTGCGCTAATCGAGGGTGACGCTCGGGAGTCAAAGAAGGAGAAGACAAGTTGTTGAGTACAAAAAAATGAGGTTAGAGTTTAAGCCCATAAAGGATTAATGGAGGGGCCCAGTGGCGTAGGCATTGTTTTGGTGGGACGGTTGGTCGGTTGGTCACAAAGGTTATCGACTAAGAATCGATTTCGGACGGTATAACGAGTTTGGACAGTTCAGGTTGGTAACCGACAAGGAAGCGAGTTCGGACGGTTCAGGTCGGTAACCAACGGGGAAGCAAGTTTCGACGGTTCAAAGGTAACTGACGTGGAAGCAGTTTTCCAACAGTTACCGACGTGAAAGCAGTTTTCAAAGGTAACCACCATGGAACTGGTTTTGAACGGTTGTAACCGCCATATAACAGATTCTAAACGGTTGAGTTTCATACGTATTTAAGCAGCCTCAGCGATTGAGGAAAAGGATCTTTAATCAGATAACATTCTAAGAGAATCTCACTGGGGATCACCACTTTATTTTTCAATTATCATTTTCGGTACTTTGCTCTTTTTATTCAACTCTTTATTTATCGCTTGAGAATTTATAGTTCTAAATATTATTGTTTAAGTTCGAAATGCATTTTCGAAATTTACTTTTTATTTATTGAAATTTTACCATCAATAATAGTAGATTAAAAATAATAATATTTTATTAGTTAATGAAAATGTTTAAATTTTTTTTGACATTTTTGCCATTTAATTTTATGTATAAAATAATTGTAAATATAATTGTATATTTATTATTTAAGTAAAAATTAAAGGTATTTTAATATTAGTGTATTATTTTAAAATAGAAAAGAGATACTTTGAAAATAATAAAAATAGTATTTTGAATTGTAACAAAGAGTATAAAAATAATATTTTATAAATAATTAAAATTTTGAAAAAATAAAATGAATCGAACAAAAAAATTTAAATAATCTTACAGTAAAAATCAGAACAAAAAAATAAAAAATAAAAAATAAAAATAAAAACACATGGTCCCACTTGGGAGGGGATCTAGTATCAAAAAATAACAAATTAGCGAATGAAAACATACTCCAAACGCTGTGGCTAGAGGTGGAAATAGGTTGATATATTTATATATATAGTTTTGATTTAATATATAAAATTATTATATTTTTAAGTATTTATACTTTCTTAGTCCGATAAGTAAATATTTATTTGCTTTTTGCACGTAGTTTTAAAAATATTAGTATTATTTGAGATATAGTAGAAATAAAGTAGAAATGACTAAAATAACCATATTAGTACGTGTGATATAAAGATAATGATATTTGTGTAATATATTATAAGTTGTAAGGGTTTATGGGACGAACTAAAATAAAAAAATGAATACTTTGTTATGGGACGGAAGAAGTAGTTTTTTTTTTAAAAAAAAAATTAATTTAGTGATAATAATTAAATATATAATAAATTTATTTTTAATTATAATTATATATACATAAAATAATAATTACAATTAAATTCTTTTATTAATATTAAATTTTTAAAAAATAAAATATTAATTATTATATAAACTTTTAAATAAATTCGTAGGTTATATAAATTTAAAAATAGACCAAATTCGTACTTTATAATCATTTTATTATAAATTAATAGGCCAGTCTCATACCTTGCTTTTTTTAAAAGTAGACTTTGTTTGGGCTCTTTATAATTAGGCTTAAAGCCAAGCCCATCCCATCCCTTCCCTATCCACTTACCGGAGGGGTCTCACTCTGACTCTAGAGCATTGCATTCCTCTCCTCTTTCTTTCCATGGCCATGGCGTCCGCTTCTCTATCGTCGGCCTTGAATCAACAACACCTCTTCAATCTACCCAAACAGTGCTCAATTCTTAATCTTAGATTCTTCTCCTCCACGTCATGCTACTCCCTCAATCCTTCGCCATGTCGCGTCTTTTTCCGCCGCCGCGTGCACGCGCTGAGCTCCTCTTCGGTTTTTTCCCGAAGCTACTCCAAGTGCCAGAATAGATATCCAGATTACGGTGGCAGGAAGTTTTCCCAAGTTCCGAATCTCCGCCATTTCATGCCCAGGGCCACTGCCGCAGTCGCCGACGGCGGCGTTTCCGGTCCCCAGGTCGAGTAAGTGCGCGTTCCTTTTGAGTATGTTTAATCGCATTTTGAAATTGTTATGCAACAATAATTGAGTGAGAGTACTGAGTTAGAAGCGCTGGAAAGTGAAGCTTTTGATAGTATTAAGCTAGTGATTACTATGATTAAGTAACTATGGTCTGGTCTGGAGATAGATACTTGTTAATGTTTTAGTTGTAGAAAACTTATGTACAGTTAACTAGCTTTTTTCAGAGACAATTGCAATGCTAAGGTCGCTAAATGATTGGTCTCTCTGTATTCACGATGTGCATGATTTATTAGTTTTCAATTACTTATCTGTTCATTTTTTATTTTTTATTTTATTTCTATAGCCCTACAATTGAGTCGGGTGTTTCTCCAAGAGGTAGGATATACCATGAAACTTATGGATGCCAGATGAATGTCAATGATATGGAAATTGTCCTATCCATCATGAAGAAAGCTGGATTTGGTGAAGTGGTGGAGACTCCTGAGGCTGCGGAGATCATATTTATAAATACATGTGCTATCAGAGACAATGCAGAACAGAAGGTGTGGCAGAGGCTTAATTATTTTTGGTTTCTGAAACGGCATTGGAAAAGTAATGTTGCTACGGGGAGGTCGCAGTCCGTCCATCCTCCAAAAGTTGTTGTGCTTGGATGCATGGCTGAGAGGCTTAAGGATAAGATTTTGGATGCAGATAAGATGGTTGACGTTGTTTGTGGGCCTGATGCATATCGAGATTTGCCACGGTTATTGGAAGAGGTTGATTCAGGTCATAAAGGGATCAACACCCTCCTCTCACTTGAAGAGACTTATGCCGATATCAATCCTGTGCGCATCTCAAAGAATTCGATTAGTGCATTTGTCTCCATAATGAGGGGTTGCAACAATATGTGCTCTTTTTGCATAGTTCCTTTTACCAGAGGCAGAGAGCGATCGCGTCCTGTGGAATCCATAGTTACAGAAGTAGCCGAGCTTTGGAAAGAAGGTGTAAAAGAGGTAACTCTCCTGGGGCAAAATGTAAATAGTTATAATGATACATCTGTTGTTGAAGAGATTGGATCAGGAGTCGACTGGAAATACAGTGATGGATTTTCCAGCCTGTGCAAAGTCAGGAATATCGGTCTACGCTTTGCCGATTTACTTGATAGACTGGCAGTTGAGTTTCCGGATATGCGATTCAGATACACTTCTCCACACCCTAAAGATTTCCCTAATGAGTTGATATATATCATGCGAGATAGGCATAATATCTGCAAGAGCATCCATTTACCTGCACAGTCAGGCAGCAGCGCGGTACTAGAAAGGATGCGCAGGGGATATACCCGAGAAGCATACTTAGATCTTGTTGAGAAGATACGTTCTATAATTCCAGATATTGGGATAAGCAGTGATTTCATATGTGGTAAGTTTGGTTTTTATCTTTATTTGTTGTTTCTCTTTTCTTAGTCAATTTTGAAGCATGTGATAAGTCCATTGTATCTTGATATAAAATATTATCACTTCCATGTCATGGATCCTGTAAGTCGGCCAATCTAGCAGCCTCCATAATAGTTCTATCATGGACCAGTATTGCAACATCTTTCTAATCATCTTGCACATCAAACATTTCCGTTACTCTCTGCGCAATCTGTCCATTAGCTGTCTAGAATCTTTTTTGTCTTTATTTAGGATTGTAAATGTTTAAAATTGATTATTATCAATGACATTTTGTAGAAGTTTGAAATTTAAGTTATTTGGCTCTATTTTATCATTGCCATTTCATATTATGAAAGGATTTGTTTTATGACCACCTTATCTTTAATGGTAATTATTAAATACGGCATAAGATTTTAAATACCCTTCAAGTTCAAATCTCCACCATCAATTTATGGAAAAATAAATCATAAATTGTGGTAAAGTATCCTGTGTGCATGTGACCAGGGATTTGTTCTTGTAATTAGATAGAAAATAAATATATGATGGTAATATCTTTGTATAAGTTGAATCTTTAAGTTGAGATGTTCATCGAATAGGGGGTAATATTTCTTTAATCCTTTTTACAATCATCATACACTTTGAAAACTTGCTTACTTAGCTTTTTCTGGCCGACAGGCTTTTGTGGGGAGACAGAAGAAGACCACCAGCAAACCTTAAGCCTAGTACGGGCTGTTGGCTATGATATGGCATTCATGTTTGCTTACAGCATGAGGGAAAAAACACATGCACACAGAAACTATGTTGATGATATTCCTGATAAAGTAAAGCAGAGAAGGTTAACAGAACTTATTGAAGCTTTTCGGGAAAGCACAGGTCAATGCTATGACTCCAAAATCGGATCTGTCCAACTAGTCTTGGTTGAAGGGCCAAACAAGAGAGCGCCCGACTCAGAGCTTATCGGCAAGAGTGATAGGGGCCACAGGGTATCATTTACAAATCTTCCAGTCCCCGATAAAAACAATAATGGTGTGAACCGCAATCCAAATGTTGGCGATTATGTTGAAGTTCAGGTATCAAAATCTACTAGGGCATCTCTTCATGGAGAAGCACTTGCCATCACCAAATTGAGCTCGTTCTATGCTGATATGCACGAAGAAGTTTCCACTTGTGTAAATGTATCTTAGGACAAGATGTTGCAACCCCTTCTATTTCACAAGGACGAATTTCTCACCTGATCAAAATGTGTACGAGTGCAAGCAAGTGGGTTGTGAATTTAGCGCCAATATGACTATCCACCTCATTGTTCTTAGATTAGATGGGGTTTGGCTTCTGGTAATAGCTTCTGTCAAGCAACCCTTCTGGATGCAGCAGTACCTGTTGCTGATCACTAAATGAAGACTTATCATGTTTCCTGCTTCTCGCCGAGACAGCAGGTGCTTACTTTCAAGGCAGTAAATATATTAAAATATATTGTGTCTTCGTTGCTTCTAATACAGCAGGTGCTTACTTTCAAGGCAGTAAATATATTAAAATATATTGTGTCTTCGTTGCTTCTAATACATAGACATTGTAACTGCCTTGAAGGTTCGAACTTCTTACAGGAAGCCTCCTCCTCGGTCTGATCCCTGATTGCTCCTCACTTGAAGGATTGATATTTATCGCTTCTATATTATGTCTTTTACTGGTTGTATTTTGCAGATTGAATAACCAAAGACGACTCAACTATCATTTCAATGGCCAATAGATGGTCAGGTATTATATTTGTTCTTTGGCATCCGTGGTTCCATAGTTCCTTGAGTCGATGGCGAGTATCTTCTATTTTATTTATTTATTTACGTCCAGGGATTTTTTAGAATGGCCAATTCATGCTCAGTAGTCTTGGAGATGCCTTGAGCTAAGTGTTTTTTAGTCTATGGTTGTAACATAACATGTGTCCTGTCGTCGTCCTACCTGCATTACCTACTACTTTCGAATGGATTTGCACATTAGTCTTTTCTTTGGTAACAAAGTTTTTTATGTCAATAGTTCAGCACTAACATTCCTGCTTGCCCTACAGTAGTATTTGGACTTTAACCTCTTAGTATTGGACCAGGCTGCTTGTAGATGGAGACATCTCTTGTTTGGAGCAATGACATGGATTCGATTTGATTGTTGGGCTAAAATGTGCGATGACAAGCTAAATTACAATATAATTAATCAAAATAATGTTGGGTGTAAGCCCCACATTGATTAATTACATTAATAATGATGCATACAAATATTATTGTTTAACCGAATCATTACATAATTTATTTTTTCTCGAAACTAAAGTATGTGTTTAAAGTCCGTGTGTGCTTGGCCCAAGTTCTAGGCTAACTTATCCAATTCCAATGCTCTCATTATGGACAATAATTACTCTTGTTGTTGGAGTTGTGGATTACGCTTGCTACCTTATTCCCCAAGTGATAATGCATATAAAAGAGGTAATCCATTTTATTCTAAGCACCACAATTATCTTTTCTCCTCCTTTCTCTTAAACAATCTCTGGCCACCCTAAAAGCGCATACATGTGCACAAGCTCGGGGCTCAAGTCTTATGATGTGGGGTCAAACTCTTGGAGATCAAGTGGTGAGGTGTCCCTCGTTTGAGGGTTGGATCTTAAGTTCGATCCTAAATGGGTGCATGTGTGTGTGGTAAAAAAAAGAAAGAAAAGTCTTGGGATGTGAGTTGTGAGTCATTGACAAAATCAAATTTTTTCTGAAAATCCAATATCCATCCCAAGATTACATATTTTATCTTAAGACAAGCCCAAACTAAAGTCCATAATGTCCATTATGACCGTCATTATGGATTGTAAATTGTTACCGATATAGATTAGTCTTTTCTATTTTATTTCCTAAGCAGTCATGCCAAAAAAAGGAGTCCTCCCCTTGATTCTCAAACACCATAACCATCTCCTCTCCTCTCGATGAATTTATTATTTGAAAGAATTATTTTACTTTTGAGATGAATTCAAAGGTGAGAGGAACACATTGACGATTTAAAGAGTGTCGTGTTGCAGTTCAAAAGTATTTATCAAATAATAATTTTTTTTTTATGATAATCGATGAGTATCGGGTCGAACTCATAACATTAATATTGAGGAAAAACTTAAGTCAAATGTGCATACTAGTTTATGAAATTGAACTTGAGATTAAGTTGCATTGAAAATAGAATTAAACTATGAAGTATAAATTTATAAAGCGAGTATAAAGGAGAAGATGATGGATGGCTGAAGTGAAAGTTGGTCACGTGGCAAAATGAAGGTTCGCAAAATCATGATGATGGCGATGGATGAAATGAATTAATAGTGTGCATTTGGTGATAGAAGTATAATATTACGGGAAGAAGAAGGAAATGATGTTTGTGTGAGGTTAGAATATATTTGCAATATATGTATATACTTTTTGTAGTAGAATATTGTGTGCACATGATCGTATAAGACTTCTGTTTGCTAAAGCACTTCACATTCACAATGATTTGTTAGTCCTTGAGGTAATATCAAAGAAAACAAACTAATCCCTAGGTAATCCATTTCTAAATGCATTATTATATGTCCGGAGAACCGTTCTCCTTGACACTTACGACTGATTTAACTATCTCTTTACTTGTTGTCAAATATTTTAAGTCAAATTATATCCAAAGCGTTGCTTTCGCGGTAGGTCCTAGATCTACCTAGTACTGTGCAATCCTCTCAAAACCTCCTAACTAGATTCGGTTACGTAAATTATATTTGCATTTTAATCAAAATTTATGCTACTCACATCGCAAAACAAATATCTTATTGGTGTCATCCAAGTGTTTAGGTGTTATGGACAAGAATGATATTTCATTTATCGCTAAGAAATTAAACTTTGTGTTTACACTACAAAAATAGTAAATTTAGCTAAGTGTGAAAAGTAGATAGAATGGGTGGCGAGCACGTGACTCATATGACAAGTGCTATCAACTATCCGCGCTAGACGTCTTGAGCTACTTAGAGCTTGAGCTCTTTCTAAAATGATTGCCTTTTTAGTGAGTGAAAATGTTATAAATGATTCAAATCAACCTCTATTTATAGGTACAATCAGAGCTTTTGGAAGGTTGACAGTTACAATTTTTCAGCTGGCATGATAATTTCCAGCCGCCCAACCGAGCAGATGCGAATTTGAACGGTCAAGATTCCTTCTACATGGATTTTGGTGAATTTCTTTAGATTGATCACTGAACGAACTATTCCTTTGATTTTCCAATCATTCACATCCTTCTATCTTTCAAACACGAGATAGGATCGCGATCTCACAACACGAATAGTCAAAATATGACCTTATCAGATTTCTTATTTTCGCCACATGAATTTCTTCTGATTTCTGCCTCAGAACACATCTGAAATTTCTCAACACACAAGGCTATCACATGATACAAAATGAGGTTAAAAACATATATTCCAAGGCATTTAAAGTCAGTCAAGTACAAATTTAGTCCGAAACCACCACGTATGCTTATAGATATCATTAAAAGAACATGTCCAAAATCAATGTTATTACCTCTTTTATGCTCTCTCAAACTTCTTCGGCCACCCTTTACCATTACAAAAAACCTTAACCTTCTGACAAGCTTAGATCCCTTTCAAGTTTGTTGGCTGGAGCTCCAACAATTAGACGTGTCACTTTCATCTTAGATGAAAAACTATTTTATCTTTGAAAGTAGTACTTCGTTGATTACCTTTCTATCCTCCAATTTAGGTTTCTAGATGACATACATGGTATCATCATGATATGACTACCTTACCTTCTATTTCTTAGTCTTCCACGCCTATTAACGACTTATCTCCAGTTCCATCACTTTCCATTCTTGTGGCTCCACCATCAACACGGCTCTTCGCCAAGGCATTCAATCTAATCATAGTTTTAATTTCCTTTTATCATTTTCTTAGTACCATCGATTATCTCATTTCATGCGTAGTGTTGTATTTGTTTTAGATTTAAATTTTGTTACTCACTCTTGGTATGAGGCTTTAGATTATTTAAGGTGGTGATAGACTATGGTAGAGAAAATTTCTATTTTGTAACTTGTCAAGATACAAAACAAGTAACATGTAACATGTTCATGGATTTATATTGTTGACGTTGACCTTGATGGTTGTGTTGATCACCCCAAAGCTCACTTATTGTGAAGGTTTTTACCAAAGTATGTGGCAAAGATTATCCAAACACCTTTTCTCCAATCACCAAGATAGCTTCCATTATCCCATTTCCTCTCTCATGGAAGCTATGCATGTTTGGCCTATGTATCAGCTAAATATTAAAAATATTTTTGTGCATGGTGAGATTTAAGAAGAAGTATATAAAAACCAAGCACATGATTTTGTTGCTTAAAAGAAGTATGGTTTCGTTTTTTTTCCTTTGCACTCATTGTATGGCTTGAAATAATCTCCACGGACATGTTTGAACAATTGTGTCTTGTTAATCAAGAATATTAGATGATACAATATTCATCTGATCACACCGTATTCCATATGTATACCTAGAGGGACATTACATATACTTGATTGTTTATGTTAACGATATTTCCATAATTTGGAATAACAGAGATGATATCACATAGTTATAAAAGCACATGCGCAACCCTTTTAAGGCTAAGGATTTGGAACCATAGTGGTAGTTCTTAGGGTTTAAAATTGCATGGTCAAAGAATGATATGATTCTATCACAAAGAAAATACTTGATATGCTGGAACAATCAAGTATAATTGAGTGTAAAGATGGATTATCCTATACATCCAAATACAAAGTTGATTTTTTTATTGAGTGAGCCCTTAATTGACCTTGGATGATATAAAAGCCTATTTGGAAAGGTTAATTATCTACCCAACCCAATAAAATCATTCGTGATTGGTGAGTCAATTTTTTCGGTCTCCATATGACCCCTTAGAAAAAAAATTTGTACATCTTAAGGTACATTTAAGGATTCTTCAAGAAAATTTTACTAAATACAACTCAAATTCACTCTAAAATTTTTGAAAATTCATATAATGATTGTGCAGGATCATCAGTGAATGTGTATTCTAGCTCGGACTATTGCGTATTTATTAAAGATAATTAATATCTTATAAAAGTAAATCAAACGTGGTTGCATGTTTTAGTATTAAAGCTTAATCTCATGTCATGGCCTTCTATATTTCTGAACTAATTTAGATTAAACAATTACTTTGTGAATTTAAATTTTGAATTTTGTGAGATAACGAAGATTAAATTATTGTATGATAAGCAAAAAATGTTGCACATGGACTTAAATTTGGTGTTTTATAAGTGAACAAGCATACGAAAATAAATTGCCAATTTATCAAAGAGATATAGTATTAGTTGAATATATAGACATCAAATATATATTTTCAAATGATCAACTTGGCCCATTTACTTCCAATTAGTTTAGGCCCACTTTGTCTATATATATTCGTTGCATCATGTAAATTAAATCAAATCAAAACTAGGGATGACATACCATACTGAACCGAAAATTTAGAACCATCCTGCATACCATACCGAAAAGTTTGGTATGGTAAAAATATATACCGGTACCGTACTGAATCATTTGATATATCAAATTTCGGTATACCGAAATTTTTGGTACGATACCGGTATATATCGAAAATTCAATATTTTATAATTTATTGGTATCAAATTGATATATACCGGTTATACCGAAATTTGTTTTAAAAATTTTAAAAAGATCTTCTCATGCTCAGCCAAAGAACGACGAAATAATGACAGTAGCAATTACAGATATTCCAGGAAGTAGCGCAACGTACATACAGTAAAAAAAGAAAAAGAGGAAAAGAAGAAAAAAAAAAAAAAAAGGAATGATGGAGAAGAAGAACGGAAAGAAGCGAAAAAATTGAAGAAAGAAGAAGGATGGAGAAGAGGAAGAAGAGCTCAAAGAGGGCAAGAAAGAAGAAGGAAGAAAGAGAAAATAAAGAAATTGAAGAAAGAAGAAGGATGGAGAAGAGGAAGAAGAGCTCAAAGAGACCAAGAAAGAAGGAGAAAATAGAAAGAAAGAAGAATTAGGATGTTTTGGCTGGGGCAATTTGCATTTGTGGAGTGGGTTAGATTTTTTTTTTTGGTTATTTTTAACTTTTTAATTTTTATTAATTATATACTATTACACGTACAATTAATGCAAAAATATTAAAATCTCTTACACACCTTCGTTAACCAATAAAATACTACAAAATCCAAACGGTCCGTTGACAAGGGACTGAGGAAGTATATTAATAGTTAAATTATTTAATTAAAATATTATTGATACAGTATAAAACCGAACTTTACTTTCCAAAAATTCATATCGATATGGTACCGAAATTTACGGTACCGATACTATACCGGAAATTTTGGTATACCAAATTTTCGACATTTTCGGTATGAAACAGTACGATAAATCGGTATTTTGCCATTTTCGGTAGGATTTATTCATCCCTAATCAAAACAAAACAAAACAACTAGAACAACTAAAAACCAACTTCAATCTTCAATATTGCTTTTCAAGTAAAATTCAACAAGAAGCATGTATTGGTATTACAAATGTAGATCATGCATCGCAAACTTGTTTTTACATTTGAAAACAGGTAGAAAAGCTAGACACGTATGACATTTCTTAAACAATATGTACCTACAATAAACCAGCCTACTAAGATGAAAATGAAGATAGCCAAATATGTGAGGAAGGTGTTTCCTCCGAGCCCAAACCCAAGTGCAAACACTAGGAGAAAGGGTAGATAGGTCCGGAAAGCAGCAATCTTACTTACAAAGCGTCCTTTGACGAACATAAGTATAGCTAAGTTTACTACATTCCAATTGCCAGCCTGAAACTTCAACCGGTTCAGACAATTTGCGACGAAAGAATGGCAATTGCAAGTTAAGATGTTGTAGGAGTTGTGTTGGTACTCTAATGTACTTCTCCTTAATGCATCATCCCAACTAGCGATTTCTCGTCCATCTTCACTCTCTGGTGGCTCATCTATGTTGCTGTGGTCAGTAGAGCCTAGTAAAGTGCAACACTGCAGGAACAATTTGAGATGCAAAAATTAATAAATCTCAGGTCAATAGTTTCTCCATTTTTTCACAAACATCATATACACTTTTGGGATCCTATTTTAACAACTACTGTCTGCTGATGAGTGGAGATACTAAACAATCATGAGAAGCAATATTGAGATGAGAATCAGTTCATAACAGTTCAATATTACTTTTATGAATCTAAGGGGGCATTCTGGACCACAGAATAATAATGTAAGTTCTGGAACAGTTTGAAATGATAAATGAACTGTAGCTAGAATATGTTTTTATATTCTCTAAATAATCGAACAATGTCAAAACTTTCACAAGCATGAACGTAATCAGCAATGATCAAAAAAGAGATAATATTCATAAATTTTATAATTAGGCATTATATAGAATGCAGTCAACTCATATTCCCCTTACGGATTGCAACTTATACGAAACATAATGTTGGAACTATAAAGATGATATATGGAATGAAATGTTTTCGGCAGAAACTCAAACTTGTTCTGAATGTTTTTTAATTTAGAGCAAATCCATCAAGATCATATACTTGTGGAGATAAATAAAATAATGGATAATCGAACAAAAGCATGTTAGTTAGCTTAATGAACCAAACTCAAACATGAGACATTCTACACGCTCATTTACAACCTTTACCCTACCACGAATGATATTCTACAATCCACAATGATATTCTACCAAGCATCTTTGATCATATCAACAAAAACTATCACTCCAGACAGATCATGTAAAAAACTTGATTCAGAACTCTAATTTATACTGAAAAGCTCATACCTGCTCCTTGCTCAGTTGAATGTACCTCTTTGGAGCACCGAACGTGAAGTTATCAACGCAGACGAAATTGGGACCAGCAAAATCTAAGATAACTCCATCCTCCCGGCATATCCCGATGTGCCCGATGCAAGGGAAAAACCACGAAAGCACAGGAAGCGGCGTCCACACAATGCAGTAGGGAAATCTGCTTCTTTTTGGATCGATCTGCGTCGACTCCGTCATGTCACCTCCGATCATCAAATTGTGCTCCTCTTTGGATCCCATTACCTAGACGGATAAGATGACCAATAGCTGGGCAATAGAAATCTGGAATCCTCTGGAATCTTTTCAGGATCACATCCGAGCTGCAGAACAACATTTAACGCAGTAGATTAGTTCGCTTCGCGGAAAAACTAATGTAATCTTCCAAACCCTAATTGTTTCTAACGCATGAACAATTGGAGAATTAGGATGGATAGAGGGGAACATGCCCTCAGCGGGATGCAGTTCGACGGCGAATAGGCGGGGCAGCACGGCGTAGATCGGCTCAAGTTCGAAATTGACGGCTGCTCCCACTCAGGTTAATTTGAAACGGCCGAAATCAGAAGAGAGCTAAGCGAACTAGCAACTGGCAAGTACCCCCGTCTCCACCACATAATAAATAATACTTCCTCCCCTGCATCTCATATGTGTATTTTTTTTTTTTTAAATCCGATAATTTTATTTTATTTTAAATTTTATAATTTATAATTTTTTTAAGAGATATTTTCATAAATTTTGGTCTCAATATAACTAAAAATTTACTCTCTCTATCCCAAAAGAAGTATCTTATTGAGAGTTGGCAGAAATTAAGGAATAATAGTATTTAATTGAAAGTTTGGTTTTTGAAGGATTTTAAAGAGTACGTTAGAGTAATAATTAGGGATAGTATGGAAAAGTAGGAATAATTTTGTTATAAAGTGGGGACCACGGCTACTAAATAAAGAAACAACACAATTGTTTTGGGATGGACGAAATGGAAAAACAAGAGAAATCTTTTGCGACGGATGAAGTATTAATTTTGGTCCAAATATAAAAAATTGATCAATTTTAGTTAATTATAAATCATTCCAATCAATTTTGATCTAATTATAAACAATTTAATTTTTTTTTTTTATCTCAATATAAACATTTTCAATCAAACGTCACGGCGTTAACGTAGCAGGTGACGTGGAAACTACACGGTCATGTATAATTTAGTGTACAATTATACACAGTCATGTTTAATAATTGATATAGTTAAAATTGAAAAAATAAATAGTAATTCTAATATAATTAAAATGTATCTATTTTAGTTCAAATATAAAAATTTATCGGGTATATTCTTTTCGGAAGATTTTGCCTAAAATTATACTTATTTACCAAAAAATTTTCTCTTAAAAATATTCAATTACACAACTATTTTGTTTATATTATAATATTAAAAATTAAATTTATATGTCAATACAATTATATATGTCTATGTTGAAATTGTTTGAAATTGTATTAAATGTAAAATAAAATTTTAATACTACCTCCATCCGGTGTTGATATTTGAATATTAATTATTATATTAAAACATAGTGCAAATTAATAAAAAAAATTGAAAAAAATACTTTAATTAGTCTCTTATAATACTAATAGAAAAATATTTGTACAAAATATTTTACAAATATAAAGATATTTTTAGTGTTAAGTATAATGACGCAAAAAATAAATGTGATCCTTAGAGACGGACGGAGAGAGTATAATATAAAAAAGAAAAATAGTTTTGTAATTAGATCTTTGTAAGTGGAAAAATTTTGATGAATAGTAGAATTTTAGGCAAAATTTTTCAAAAGAACATACCCGATAAATTTTTATATTTGAACTAAAATTGATACATTTTAATTATATTAGGATTACTATTGATTTTTTTTTCCATTTTAACTATATCAACTATTCTAAATTAAAAATATTTTTTTTTATAAAAAAAATATAACAAAAAAAATTAAATTTTAAACCAAATTACGGTTGTGTAGAATTAAACATAATCGTGTATAATTATACACTGAATTATATCGGCCGTGTGACAACATGACTATGTATAATTGTACATGGCCGTGCAGTTTCTACGTCACTTGTAATGTCAACTCCGTAATGCCCACGTCAGCAATTTCCATTAATTTTTTTAACGGTGGGACCAAAATTAGTTGAAATGATTTATAATTGCACCAAAATTGCTTGAAACTGTTTATAACAAGACTTAAAATTGATGAGTTTTTTTATATATAGACCAAAATTGATGAATTTTAGTTATACTGTGATCAAACTTTATTTTTTTTCCCTTCTTATAACTCTCTAGTATTACGTTTCTTCCCATTAACTCCCTGTTTTAAATTATTTATTCCTTTCAACTCTTATTATTATTGAAAGGCCTTAAATACCCCTGTTATGTTAAAAGACATATTTGCTCTTAGAATCCAAAATCTAAATAAATACTAAACAAACATTGTTTCACTTTCTCTCCTAGCATAGTTGCACGTGCTGGATCGCCGGTTCGCATAAAGTTTCTACTAAAAATTCATATCTCAACTTTTCTTTCATCAATTGGGTATTCTCTACACTTGAAATTGTAAATTATTAATATATTTTATATCATTGTTTTGTTGTTTATAAGATTTTTAAGATTATTGTGTTATAATACATTGTTTATATTTTTTTATCGTAATATAACAATGTATAAAAATATAAAAAAATCATTGTAATTCCAATAAAAAATGAAAAAGTGTGTAATTCAAAGTTATTATCACCCACAAAAAAATAAAATAAATAAATACATGTTTTCAGCAGAAACCATGGATATTTGTTTTGGACCCGAGATGAACTTTTCTATTATGTTTCCGTGAGATCGCGGAAATGCATACTCTTTCCGCGAGAAACAGTAAATTTTAAAGACAGTTGTACCTATATAAGAATCAAGTTGCAATTGGTTGTTGCTAGTCTTGTACATGTACTAGAATAAACTTGTACTTCAATATCAAAGTCGAGATTTTTGGATTTTGCCATTGTATTCGGATACAACCATGCATATACTTCAACAAGAAACATATCCCCAAAATTATAAGAAAAATTCTTAACAATAAAATGTCATTTTTCATATTAAACGTAAATATATATATATGTAAATGTAAATATTGCAATTGTACATATAAATATATATAAGTGTTGTTTATAGATGTTAGTAAGATATATATGTAAATAAATACATATTTAATTTTTATAAATATTGTATATATGATTATGTATATTAATATATACATAAATGTATATATATGTTATAACAATCTCGAAAAAATATTACGCAAAAGAGTGTGCCTACAATAGAAAATAGTTATACCTACACAACTCAAAGTTGTACCTACATAGGTAATAGTTATCATGTTACACTGACCCTCGTTAGGCTTGTACTTATACAAGAAGAAACTTGTACTTCGAGATCAAAGTCGATATTTTTGAATTTTTCCATTGTATTTGGATGTAACCGTGCGTATACGTCAACAGGAGCACATATCCCCCAAATTATAAAAAAACATCCTCAACAATATAACGATATTTTTCTTGTCAAATGTAAATGTAAATAAATATCTATTCATATGATTTTTTATAAATATTGTATATGCAATTATATATTAAAATAGACATAAATGTATGTATATATGTTATAATCATCTTAAAAAAATATTATGCAAAAGAGTGTGCCTACAATAGAAGACAATTATCGCTACACAACTCAAAGTTGTATCTACATAAGAATCAGGTTTCACTTGACTCTCTTTAGGCTTTTACTTGTACTAGAAGAAATTTGTACTTCGACATAAAATTTGATAATTTTGGGTTTTTTCACGTATTTGGATGCAACAGTACACATACTTTAACAGGGAATACATATCCCACGAATTCTAAAAAAATCTTCGACAATACAACATTATTTTTCATGCCAAATGTAAATGTAAATGTAAATAAATATCTATTCTTAAAAATTATTTATACATATTGTATATGCAATTATATATTAATATAGACGTAAATGTATATATATGTTGTAATCGTCTCGAAAATATATTACGCGAAAGAATGTCTACAATAGAAGACAGTTATACATACACAACCAAAGTTGTACTTACATAGGTATCAAATTGCTCTTGACCCTCGTTAGATTTGTACTTGTACTAGAAGAAAATTGTACTTCGATATCAAAGTCAATATTTTTGGGTTTTCCCACTGTAGTCGGATGCAATCGTACGTATATTTAACAAGGAGAACATATCTCACGAATTCTAAAAAAAATCCTCAACAATACAACATCATTTTTCATGCCAAATGTAAATGTAAATGTAAATGCAAATAATTATCTATTCGTTAAAATTATTTATAAATATTATATATACAATTATATATTAAAATTGACGTAAATGTATATATATGTTGTAACCGTCTTGATAAAATATTATGCGAAAGAGTGTCTAAAATAGAAGACAGTTATACCTACACAACTCAATGTTGTACCTACGTAGGTATTAAATTGCACTTGACCCTCGTTAGACTTGTATTTGTACTATAAGAAACTTGTACTTTGACATCAAAATTGATATTTTTGGGTTTTTTCACTATATTCAGATGCAACGATACATATACTTTTACAATGAACAAATATCACACGAATTATAAAAGAAATTCTCAACAATACAACGTCATTTTTCATGTCAAATGTAAATGTAAATATAAAAAAATATCTAATCATAAAAATTATTTATAAATATTGTATATACAATTATATATTAATATAGACGTAAATGTATATATATGTTGTAACTGTCTCAAAAAAATATTACACGAAAGAGTGTGCATGCAATAGAAGACAATTATACCTACACAACTCAATGTTGTACCTACATAGGTATTATATTGCATTTGACCTTCGTTTACTTGTATTAGAAAAAACTTGTGCTTTGACATCAAAGTCTATATTTTTGGGTTTCTCCACCGTATTCGGATGCAACCGTACGTAAAAGTTGTAATTGTATATAATTATTGTTTATAAATATTAGTGAAATATAAATGTATATGTAAATAAATATCTATCTGTAAAAAATATTTATAAGTATTGTATATACAATTATATATTTTGATATATAAATAAATGTATATATAATGTAATCACCTCGGGAAAAAAAGGTATACAGAAAAGTATGTCTATAATAGAAGATAATTGTACCTACGCAAACTCAGAGTTATACCTACATGGGTATAAAGTTGCTCTTGATCCATCATAGGCTTGTAGTTATACTAGAAAAAATTTGTACTTCAAGATCAAAGTCGATATTTTTTAGTTTTTCCACCATATTTGGATGCAACTGCACGTATACTTTAACTAAGAGCACATATCCCATAATTACAAGAAAAAACTCAGACAATACAACATCCTTTTACATGTCAAATGTAAATGATATGTAAATATAAAAATTGTAATTGTATATATAAATATATATATATATATTGTATTTAAATATTAGTCAAGTATAAATATGAATAAATATCTATCAATAAAAGCTTTGTATAAGTATTGTATATATAATTATATATATTAATGTATAC